GGGGCAGGGGCGGACGAGGGCCGTGGATGTCTATGGAATCAGTGTGCGGACCTATCAAATGAAGAAATTGTTGTGTAAGAAATTTGTAGTGTGTTCGATCATCGTGCAGCAATGCAAAAAGGTGGTCAATTAAAGAAAAAGAGGAATTAATAATTCGAAAAATAATCGATCGATCGATCGATCGATCGATTAACAGGCATCGCCAATAAAAGAATTGCTTAATTGGAACTTGAAAGTCAATTTTTGATCTAATTAATTTCTGAACTAATTAATTGAGGCAGCGCCGGTTATCAATCGATAGTGTGAGATGTTGTTCCATATACCAATTTCGCCGCCATCAAATCAGCCAACTCGATATCAATGAATGAATGAATCAATCAATCAGCCAGTCTATGAATCAAGAAATCAACGAGTCAATCAATCAACGAGTCTATCAATCACTCAATCAACCAGTCCATCAATCAATCAATCACTCAATCAACCAGTCCATCAGTCAATCAATCAATCAATCCATCAGTGAATCAATGAATCAGCCAAACAGTCGATCAATGAAGGCACTCAACCAGTCTATCAATCAATCAATCAATCAAGCAAGCAAGCAAGCAAGCAAGCAATCAATCAATCAATCAACCGGTCAACAAGTCTACCAATCAATCAATCAATCAGTCAATCAAACAATCAGCTAGGCTACCAGCCGGACCACCTGGGTCACCTTGTTTGCCCGGGCGGTCCGGCCGTGCAAGGACCAAAGAATGTCCCAGAAAAAAAAAAAAATCCAAAAATTCTTGGAAAAAATTATGTTATGCAGAAACATAAACTGGACAGCTTTTGCCTCAGGGTCACGTCGAAACTCGTTACCAAATTTGAAAAAAACAATTTACATTTTTTTTAATAATTATCAGACGTTCTATTCCGGGGGAAGCCGGTAGTCGAGCTAATCTGTCGATTTATTGCTTGATCCACTACAAATCTTTGTTCAGTTGAGGACCTCCTACAGCTAGCGATCATCGCGGAGTATCCCTTTCTCCCTCCCTCTCTCTCTCTCTCTCGTTCTTTCTCGGCCCCCTCCTCCCTTAATCCTTCTGATTGTACCATAGCTCGTGTGCTGAGTTCGTCTTTCTATTCTCTCCCCCCTCTTCTCTCCTGTCTCTCCCTTCTTCCCACCCTCTCCCTCACCCTCTCCCCCACCCTCTCCCCCACCCAGCCCTCTGAAAGAAGAAAAACTGTGCTTTTTTTGGTTCTTTTTCTCTGTGGACTGCGGCAACCTTCGTCGGTTGTGCACTTCTCCCCCACTTGTTGATGTCCTACATCGTCTTTTTCTCTTCCCCTCCCTTTCTCCCTCTCCCTTTCCCTCTCCCTCTCCCACTCTCTCTCCCTCTCTCTCCTTCTCTCTCTCCCTGTCCCTCTCCCCCTCCCTCTCTCCTTCTCCCTCTCCTTCCCCCTCCCTCTCCCCCTCCCTCTCCTTCTCCCTCTCCCTCTCCCTCTCCCCTTCCTCTCTCCTTCTGCCTCTCCCTCGTTGGCTGGTCAGATTCTCCCAATGGCAGATGATTCGAACCCAACGGAAGCCACTAACCCGCTTCCGCTAATTAGAACGCCCTGTCATCATCGTAGGCTGTATCTAGACTGATCGTTGCCCCAAATACAGCTATAACGACCCACATACTACGTTCTATTCAGGCGAAGACGGGTGTTCGTAAGAACAATACATTCGCCCCCCCCCAAAAAAAAGAAAAAAAAAGAAAAATCATCCAGAAGAGGAAAGAAATTCGTCC